CTCTCTGTCTCTCTGTCTTTCTGGTGAGCACATGTGCTCTATAGCAGAAAAACTCTCAAAAAAAAAAAAAAGGTAATAATAATAATAAATAAAAATAAATGGGGCCAGCAGATGGTATAGTGGTTACATCGTTAGACTCCCACATGACCAACCGTGGTTCTAGTCCCAGACTCAGTGGCTTAAAAATCACGCGAGGCACATATACATGCATGTCCAAGGTCCCAGGAAGAGCATGGAAGAGAATGGTTTGCGGTGCAGTCATCCCCCCAGGAGGTGATTTCTCACTGTCCCTGTCTCTCTTCTGGGCAAGTACACACCCCCTAAGGCAAAATAAATAAAATAAAATAAAATGAATAATTCTTTAAAAAAAAAAAAAAAATTTTCAGATAATCATTAGAAAAACCCTCTGCACCAGCAGCGTGACAGACACCATAGCTTAAACCAGCACAGTGGTTTTCCCCCTCAAGGCTGCTTTGGCCTCTCAGTATTGCCCAGAAAGCCTTGTGAGATCTCGGGGCTGCCTCGTTAAAGGCTTCTCCCAGCTCCTACTAATTTCTACCTCCCTGCACTCAGTACAGACCTCATTTGTCACTAACAGTTTCTGAAAGTCATATAATGACAGTAGATTGTGTAGGTCGTAATAAGGTACAATATGTAGCAAGCATGCGTTCTTTTCTTTGGAGATTCAGGGTCAGAGCTTCTGCACACTTCCTAGTGTTCAGTATTTACATGCTTATACCGGGGAAATACGTGATTCTAGGCTAGGGATTTTCAGCTGTAGTTTTCCTACCATAAATACATCCCTTACATTTTTAGAAATTGTTCTCATTAGAATAGCATAGCATTGAAACTCTTCCACTTGTGCCTATATTCTCATATATTCTTATATATTTGTTGACAATAGTTTCCACAAGAGAGTATGGAATGCTGAGTATTATAAATCTCCTCTAACACGTAGGAGGAAGCATCGTTATGTTTTAGGCATCGGTCAGCTTTTTCTCTCTTGGGTTTGCATGCTCATGTTCATTTTCCAATGTGTGTCATTTTGGTCTCTCGTGTTAGAAGCTTTCCATGGATCCTGGTAAATCTTGATAGTCTCTTTAAAGGTGAGAGCCTCAGAAGTCGATGGAAGCTACGGGAGGACTTGTCATTTCTACATGTGCCTGTAGGTAGAACGGGTTTCCCATTTCTTAGAAAACCCCTGGGTCAATGCCTTTAGGTCTTTCCTCTTGGCCTGGTTCAGCTTCCAGACTTCCTGTCGCCTACCTGAGGGGTAAAGACCAGGATGCTAGGTGTGGGAAGGTGACAGATCAGGTGCTTATCATGCAGATGTTTGGTAGGTGCCTCTGATAGCTTGCGCCTTTGCCGCCAAGCTGTGCCTGGTACCCTATCTGAGAGAGCTTGTGTTTTCCACTGACGAGGTTAACCTGTAGTCTCCATGGTTGGGGAAGATCGTGGGGTCTAAATGTTTCTTAACCAGCTTTCAGGTCAATGTATTTATTTTAACTGACCCTTTTCACACTTACTTCAAAGGATTCTAGTATAGCTATTTCTAGAGCTCATTGAAGTTTGTTTCGTTTTATTTGCTTATTTTTACTTTTTTGTTTTCTTTGTTTTGTACATAGGATTAAGTAGGATTTTTTAAAAATATTGTGAATATGATTAAATACTGTTGGTTTAGGATTCAGTTTTTTTGTTTTGTTTTGTTTTGTTTTGTTTTGTTTTTTTGAGGGATTTTTACTATAAGGCGCATGCACTTGCCAGAGAGAGAGAGTGACGGAAAGCAAGAAGTCACCCCCCAGGGGATGGCCACACCGCAGTCCCTTCTCCATTCTCTTCTTGGGATTTTGGGCATGCGTGCACATGCTCCCAGCGTGAATTTTAATCCACCATGTCCCGGACTCCAACCACGGCAATCACATGGGGCCCAGCAACATAACTGGTACGCCATCTGCTTGTCCCTGTTATTTTTTTTTCGATTCAGTTTACTTTTCTTTTTCTTTCTTCTTTTTTTAGATTATTTCATTTAACTTTCCTTCTTTCCTTCCTTCCCTTCTTTCTTTTGTTTTCTTTTTTCTTGCTTCCTTTTCTTTTCTTTTCTTTCTCTCTCTCTCTCTTTTATTTGACCAGAGTGGGACAAAAAGAGAGAGGGAGAGAAAGTGGGAAAGCAAACTGCCAGGGCCAAGACTTGAACCTCAGTCAGCCATGTGGGAGCCCAGCACCCTTAATGACCATGCCACCTACCAGCCCCCCAGTTTTCTTTATTCTGTTTTGACAATTAAAATTTGTTCCTTGGGCCAGCCAGAGGCATGGTGGTTAAGGCAACTGGATTCCTACATGGCTGATGGTCTAGTTCGAGCCCCAGATTCAGCAGCTTAAAAAACATACCAGGCACATGTGCATATGTGCCCAAAATCCTGAGAGGAGAAGGAATTTCACTGTGGCCGTCCCCTCTGGGGCGGGGTGTGTGTGTGTGTGTGTGTGTGTGCTTTCTCTCCCTCTTTCTTTCTCTCTCTCCAGTGAGCACATGTGCTCTATAGCAAATTAAAAGGGCAAAAAGGACTGCTGGTCCCATCCGGTCTAACTTTCGATCTTATCAAGGAAGGCTTTTGTCAAGAAGCTCTTTGACCCCAGAGGTACCTTTTAATAATTATAATATAACCAGGGACCAGCATTTGGCGTAATGGCTATGTTGCTGGACTCCCATGTAGTCTACCACAGTTTGAGTCCCGGACCCAGTGACTTAAACTCAACGCCAGGCGCATGTGCGTGCGTGCCCAAGATCCCAAGAGGAGAATGGAGGAGAGGGGATTGTGGCATAGCCATGCACCCTGGGAGGTGATTTCTTGCTTTCTGTCTCTGTCTCTCTCTGTCTTTCTGATGAGCGCATGCGCCCTTTAGCAAACACCTTTCCAAAAAAAAAAATTATGATATAACCCAAAGAAATGTTGATATTTTCTTAACTTTCTATAGTCTTACTGCAACTAAGTATGGGGCCATCATTAGACTATTAGTTACTACAGTTAGATGTGGGTTTTCAGCAGACTGTTACGCTTTCATGTGGCAATTTTAAATGTTGAAAATAGCTTAAGGGCCATCTTTATTGACTTTGGAGAAACCTAGGGGCCCGAAAGTTCAGGTGAAGATTGCAGTCTTGAGCACCAGAAATACCACCTTTTGTTATCCATTTTCCATTGCAGGGATGTTATCAAGTGGCTGGTCAAAGCAGTGACTGACAATGGACTGACTCAACTCAGTGGGAATCAGACCTCTTCAGGAACAGCGGCCTCAAAGGCCAGCGGTAGCAACCCTTCTTCTCAGCCCACCCTTACAAAGAACGCCAATCAAGTGTAAGTTTTGGTCAGATGAAGTTCCCCTTCCTGGGGCTGGAGTTTTAATGGCCAGCTTTTCCCATAGTAACAAGATCTTTTTTTTTTTTTTTTGGAGAGGTTTTTGCTATAGGGCGCATGTGCTCGCCAGACAGACAGACAGAGACATAGAGACAGAAAGCGAGAAATCACCCCCCAGGGGGGATGGTCACGCCACAATCCCTTCTCCTCCATTCTCCTCTCGGGATCTTGGGCACGCACGCACACGCGCCCGGCGTGAGTTTTAAGCCACCAGGTCCGGGACTTGAACTGCAGTTGACTACGTGGGAGTCCAGCGACATAGCCATTTCGCTAACTGCTGGTTCCCAGTAACAAGATTTTATAAAAATAGGCTGACTCTTACTAAAAACTTAGCATAAAGGGTAAAATTCTAAGTTCAAAAGCAGGTGCTTTCCCACTAGATGGAAAGAACTTCACAAAAGAGGATGTAAATTCACAAAGCAGAAGAGAAACAAACACTGTCGGACACTGCCTTCCCTTTCCTGGACTTCAAGGGACAATAAAGGGTTACAGCCATTCGTCACTTCAGATGTCCCCTGACAGGGTGGGTAGGTATTCCAGCAGCTGCTGGTCCTCAGGGACCTGTTTCCTGCAAGAAACTAGCGATCCACCCTGAGGGTTCCAGCAAGTTTCACTGCAGTGGCTCAGTCCAGGACAGGGCCCATCACCTCCAGCTGCATTGGAAAGAGACTCACGCTGCTTTTCGTTATGGGGTTGAATGGTCTTGGCACCTTTTGAGAGACGCCAGGATCTTAGGGGCTATGGCTGCCCTATGCAAGTAGCCTAATATTCCATGTCAGTTGTGTTGTTAAAAGCCAATCACATTGACATTTCAAAGACAGCATTCGTGCCTGAATTTACAATGCTGCATGATCATTTAGTTTTTAATTAAGCCCATTTTCAGTTAAGGTCTATCCGTGGGTTTCAACTACTTGAGAAGACGAGCTTGTATCTCAAGGGGGAATGTTTTAGAAGAGTGACACGTGTGTTTGGGTAGATTGGGGGAGCCCCTAAAGGGATTATCACAGAGATACCATGTACAGACCTAAGAGGGAGGTAGACCCTGTTCCTTCTATGGAAGCTAATCTCATATAATAATCAATAAAGTTGTTAGAAGTAGGTATTAGTAGAAATGATAATAGGGCCTCCTGAAAGTCAATTTTATCATGATCTTATCAATAATAATATGCACTACTACTTACCATATATGCCAAATATTTTACATATTGCTCATGATTTTGTGTGATTCTGTTTTAGTTTTTATTTTATAACTTATTATTTATTTATTTACTTATTTTTTAAATTGGACCAGAGAGGGACAGAGTGAAAGCAAGAGAGAGGAAACTGAGAAAGCAAGCCTCCAAGTCTGGGACTTGAACTGCGGTCAGCCATGTGGGAGTCTAGTACTGTTAACTACCATACCACCTGCCAGCCCTGTGTGGTTCTGTTTTTGAGTTTAAAAGCAGCTTATGGGGACAGCAGATAGTGTGGTGGTTAAGGCATTGGATTCCCACGTGGTCCACCATGGTTTGAGTCCCGGGCCTGGTGTCCTGAGACATATGCCAGACATGCGTATGTGCCCAAAGTCCCAAGAGAATGGAGGTGAAAGGATTGCAGTGTGGCCATCCTCTTGGGGCAGGGGATTTCTCACTTTCCCTCTCTGTCTCTCTCCAGCAAGAGCACATGCCCTATGGCAAAATTCTTTAAAATAAAATACAATAAAGCTGCTTGCTTCTGCAGCTCAGCCCCAGGTCCTGACAGGTTCAGGTAATATGATCAGGAAAAAGGGATTCAGAAAGGTGAAATTGCTAAGTGAAATTGCTAAGTGAAAGCAGGCCAATGGCTTTAGTCGTCCTCCCTGACCCAGCGTGGCCATCACGAGGTCCTTCAGGAGTCTCTATTCTCAGCGGACAGTAGGCCCCTTCCCCGCACAGGTGGCTGCTTGCCAGGCCCGCGCTTACCTGTGCCTGGTGCTCTGCACGCAGGACCGTGTGCCAGCTCCAGCGGATGCTGTCCCTCGCTGTCGAGGTGGACAGGACCCCCACCTGCAGCTCCAATAAAATCGCTGAGATGATGTTCGGGTTCGTGCTGGACATTCCCGAGAGAAGTCAGAGGTGAGCCTGCATTTCTGTTTGTCCATTTTTTAAAATTTTAGAAAGTCATTTTTCTTAAAATTAACTGTTCTATCCATCCCACCTGTTGGGAACAGAATCTCAAAAGAGAAAATTCCAAACTGTAACTAAAATAGGGGAAAAAGGGATAGAGAGATTGTTTCTGTTTCTTTGATCTTTTCTTTTTTTAAATAAGTGTTTGTTTATTTAATTCAATTTGTTATTATTTTTCAATTTGACCGATAGAGAGAGAAAGAGAAAGGGAAAGCAAGAAAGCAAGTCGCCAGGTCCAGGACTTGAACAGTGGTTAGCCATGTGAGAATCCAGCACCCTTGGTCACCGCACCACCTGCTGGCCCTCTTTGGCCTTTTGAAAGGAAAAGATTGCCAACTAATTGTTCTCATTTCCAACTAAGGTGTAATTTCTTTCTTTTTTTTTTTTTTTTGAAAAGAACCGTTTTAACTTCATTTATTTACTTTTATTTGACCATAGAAGGACAAAGTGAGAGACAGAAAGGGACAGCAAGGAAGCAAGCCGCCAGGTCCCGGACTTGAACCACCATCAGCCGTGTGGGAGTCCAGCGCCCAACCACCACGCCACCAGCCAACCCGGCATTGTTTCTTGTTCAAGGCCTAGATATCCCTACTCATCCAATTCTGTGATGACTTGACTTACCCTTCAGGATTCGGCTGTTGAATCGTCCTCTGCGCCGACCCTCATCCACTAAAGGCTCGGTGGACAATTGAACTAAATGTATCCAACATTACAGGAAGGGGCGGTGACCCGAGAATGGAGAGCGCTAGGCCTGTGGAGCCTCTACACATTATTAGTAAAAATAAAGAATTCAGTTCCTTAGTAGGAAATAAGGAAATAGAGGTTTTTGGCTAGGACCTATCATTCCTTCCTTGAACCAGTAATTTTAAAATCCAGAGAGAGTGTGTAGTCACAAGATCCTTGCAGGCTCCAGATATCTCCACAAGATACTCATTTGCTAAAGAGAGAAACAGCTTTACAGTCCACAGCAGTGAGGGGCAAGTGAGCATCATGTACCTCTTGCTATGATTCACCGAGAACAGAACATCACTCTTCAGTACCTCTGCCAGAAATGCTCACCCTTGATCTGAGCAGGAATCTCAAATGACAGACATTCTGTGAAAAACTTGAGTGTGCTTTTCAAAAAAGTCGATGTCATCAAAGACACAGTCAAACTGAGGGGTCATTCCTAATTAAAAAACATTATGAAACAGACAGTTGGGGCCAGCAGGTCACACGGAGGTTAGGGCTGCAGATCCCACATGGCTGACTTCATGGTTTGAATCCCAGACCTAGCATGTGAGCACCTGTGTGTGCATGCCCAAAATCTCAAGAAGAAACTGGGGAAGGGGTTGCATGTGGCCATCCGCTAGGGGTGATTCTCACCTCTCTCTCTGTCACTGCAGCGTGACCATGCTCTCTCATGGCAAGCTCACACACCCTCTGGCAATAATATGTAAGTAAGGGGCCAGCAGGTGGCAAGGTGGTAAAAGTAAATAAATAGATAAACATATATATAAATATATACTCTTCTATCTATCTATCTATTTATACTTACTAATAAATAGATAGATAGAGAGAGAGAGAGAAAGAAAGAAGAGACAACCAGGGGCCCACAGGTTAAGGTGCTGGGTCACGTGTGGCTGACTTCCTCTGCTTAATCCTGGCCCGTGGCTTGAAAATCACCCCCAGGCGTGTGAGCATGCCTGCCCAAAATTCTGACAGGAGACTGGAGGAGAAGGAATTGTGGAGTGGCCATGCTCCCTCAAGGATACTTTCTCACTTTCCTTCTCTCTCTCTCCTTGCCTCTCTCTGACTAGTGCCTGCATTCTATAGCAAACTAACTAAACAAAGAAATAAGATGTTAGTTGTTTAGGGGTTGCTGGAGTAAATGGGTGAACAAATTCGTGATCTAAACTTTTTTTGTTTTTGTTTTTGTTTTTTTTGGGGGGGGGAGAGATTTTCACTGTAGGGTGCGTGCGCTCGCCAGACAGACAGAGAGAGACATAGAGACAGAAAGCGAGAAATCACCCCCCAGGGGGGATGGTCACGCCGCAGTCCCTTCTCCTCCATTCTCCTCTCGGGATCTTGGGCTATATATATATATATATATATATATATTTTAATTATTATTATTATTATTATTTTCTTTTTCGGAGAGGTTTTTCGCTATAGGGCACGTGCTCACACCAGAAAGACCGAGAGAGACAGTGAGACAGAAAGTGAGAAATCACCCCCCACTGGGGATGGCCATACCACAATCCCTTCTCCATTCTCTCAGGATCTTGGGGACGTACCACACGTGCCCGGTGTGAGTTTAAGTCACCAGGTCCGGGACACGAACTGCAGTCGACTACATGGGATTCCAGTGATAGAGCCATTTTGCCAACTGCTGGTCCCAAACCCAGAGTATGTTTCAAGCCAGTGGGTCTGGAACTCAGATCATGTAGTTGGCCATGTGAGATCTAGGCATTTCAACTACCGCACCACTGGCTGGCCTGATCTAAACTATTAATCTACATGCTTTTTTTCCCCCTTTATCCCAACCCATTCCTTATATGTAAGTTCTGTTGTTTTAGTATTTGGATTGCTGGTTTAGCAGAAGCCAAGGAAACAGGTAACTATAGTAATCAGGATGTTATCCAACTGTATATAGTTTACTTTGTAAATACTGGTGAACAGTGATCAATAAATAGATTTATTTCCTTAAAAATTTGGGGGGGGGGCAGCAGTTAGCATAATGGCTATGTCACTGAGCTCCCACGTAGTCGACCACAGTTCGAGTCCTGGACCCGGTGGCTTAAGACTCACGCTGGGCATGTGTGCGTGCATGTCCAAGATCCCGAGAGGAGAATGGAGGAGAAGGGATTGCAGCGTGGCCATCCCCCCTGGGGGGCAATTTCTCGCTTTCTGTCTCTCTGTCTGTCTGGCAAGTGCACGTGCCCTATAGCAAAATCCTCTCCACACACACACAAAAATAATAATAAAAAAATTGGGGGTGGGGGGCACCAGCAGATGGCATAATGGTTACATCATTGGACTCCCATGTAGTCGACCACAGTTTGACTCCTGGACCCAACAGCTTAAACTCATGCCGGGGGCACTTGAGTGAGTACCTAGAATCCCAAGAGGAGAATGGAGGAGAAGGATTGCATTGTGGCCATCCTCCCAACAGGTCATTTCTCACTTTGTCTCTCTGCCTCTCTCTGTCTCTTTGGTGAGCACTTGCACCCTATAACAAAAGTCTCTCTTAAAAAAAAAGGTTTTTCTTAATAAGAAGGAAAAGTCAAAATTTTTTCCTCTGCTTTTTTCTTTTCTTTTTTTTTTTATAGAAATTTTTGCTTTAGGGTGCATGTGTTCACTGGACAGACAGAGACAGAAAGCTAGGAATCACCCCCAGGGGGGATGGCCAGTCTCTTCTCCATTCTCCTCCCAAGATCTTGGGCACACACACGTGCCCAGTGAGAGTTTTAAGCCCCTGGGTCTGGGACTCAAACTGCTATTGACTATGTGGGAGTCCTATGTTAACCATTATGCCATCTGCTGGTCCCCACTCTGCTTTTTTTTTTTTTTTAAGGTTTTTGCCATAGGGTGTGTGTGCTTGCAGGAGAGACAGTGAGAAGAAAAGTGAGAAATCATCCCCCAGGGGAGATAGCCATGCTGCACTCCCTTCTCCTCCATCTTCTCCTGGGATTTTGGGCACGCACACAAACACTCATCCGGTTTGGTCAAATCCAGAACTCAAACCACATAGTTGGCCATGTAGGACCCACCGCCTAAACCACCATACCACCTATTGGCCCAGTACATGTTTATTTTGATGCAAAAAAAAAAATTGAAATCCATACATAATTTTTTCATAATATACATTTTCCACGAACTTATTGAAGACTAATGTGTCTGATAGAAAACTTAAAACATACACTTTTCCTACTTACTATTTTTATGAGCAGAGTGGCATGGGGGCTGCCCTGTTTTACCGATGTTGCCCAGCTGTGAAGAAGCAGGGTGTTGTCGGAGAAAGAACCCTGAGAACTGGGGCTAACTTGCTTGCTGGCTACGCGAGTCTCACTGTTCCTCCATGTTACCGGCTCCTCCTCTGTCCCAGGCCATCTGCCTCCTAGAACCACTGGGACTCACAGACTCAACACAGACACCAAACCAGCCAGAACCTTCCAGCAGTTCAGAGGTGTCCTGTGTGTCTGGTTCTGTCACTCCGCTCAGAGCCTCTGAAGTCTTCCAGCCCACCTGCTGAAAAACCTGCACTAGGCAGGCTGGCAAAAGACTTAGGTCTGGGGGAACCAGCAGTTAGCGTAATGGCTATGTCGCTGGACTCCCACGTAGTTGACCATGGTTCGCGTCTCGAACCCGGTGGCTTAAATCTCACGCCGGGCACGTGTGCGTGTGTGCCCAAGATCCCGAGAGGAGAATGGAGGAGAAGGGATTGCGGCGTGACCATCCCCCCTGGGGGGTGATTTCTCGCTTTCTGTCTCTATGTCTCTCTCTGTCTGTCTGGCGACCGCATGCGCCCTATAGCGAAAACCTCTCCAAAAAAAGAAAAAAAGACTTAGGTCTGGACTCCGAAATTTAAGAAGCCACAATCCCCAGCTGTGTATTCTTCACGTTTTATCTTTGTTCATGTCCCAACTGCCCGCATTGAAATGCCTCCTGCCTTGAGCTGTCTCCGTCACCAGGGCCGGCTCCTCCGTAAGAAGCCATTTCTAGTCCCCTGACCAAAAGTGCTCTCTCTTCTAAGTATCCCTGCAGCACTTTAAGTTCCTCTTGCATAACTCTTGCCTCTGTTCAGCTATCAGCTTCCTAAAGAAGTATCCTCTTTCATTTACTTTAATATTCCTCAGCATGCCAAACAGTATCTGATCAATTACAGGCATTTAGAAGTAATTAATATTCTCATATTAATCCTCATAGTTACAGTATGACTTAATTCTCTCTCTCTCCTTTTTTAAAGTCTGTTTCTTTAGTAAGAAAGGAAGACAGAGAGAGAGGGGCAGGCACCTCCAGCAGGTCCTCATGCCACGATCCTACCTAACTCAGCCAGCCAGGGTCTAGCACACACATGACACCTGGCATGTACAAGGGGGTGAGCCCAGACATTCCTGGGTGGCCTCAGCAGCCTGGAGCTTGCAACTAAGCCCTTTCCACCCTGTCCACAGCTTAGTGGTTCTGCAGGCCTCCACTGTATCCCTTCTTAACTGTTTTGGTTTGGTTTTGATTTTGTTTCTGTTTTGGTTTTCGGGACGGATATCAGCCCGCTCAGGAGGAGCTGAGCCGTGTCCTCTGACACGCAGCTGTGATGGCTAACCCCCGCCGCCCTTCTCCCTGCAGGGAGATGTTCTTCACCACGATGGAAAGCCACCTGCTGCGCTGCAAAGTGCTGGAGATCATCTTCCTCCACAGCTGCGAGACGCCCACTCGCCTGCCCTTGTCTCTGGCCCAGGCCCTCTACTTTCTGAACAATTCCACGTCGCTGCTCAAGTGTCAGGTACTTTTTCCTGTTTCAGTCCCAGGCCTAGGACACCCATTTCTCGGGACCAGTAGATAGTGTAATGGCTATGTTGCTGGACACCCTTGTAGTCAACTGCAGTTTGAGTCTCAGACCTGGCACCTAAAAACTCACACTGGCCACCTGCACATGCGTGCCCAAGATCCCCAGAGGAGACTGGAAGAGAAGGGATTGCAGTTTGGCCATCCCTCCTAGGGGGTGATTTCTTGCTTTGTCTCTCTGTCTGTCTGACTAGTGCACATGCCCTAGAGCAAAAATCTCTATTAAAAAAAAAAAAAAAAAAACACACAGGGACCCGCAGTTCGCG